GAAGAAGTTCACATGATTCCTGTTTAGCCTAGTCTTCTCTATTACCTTCTTTCGCACTAAATGTTAGATTAGATGCTCATTTGGGTATGGAGCTATCTTTCTTTACCTTGGTTTACTAGAGTTATTAGACTAGTGTTAGACTAGTGTTATTAGTCTACTTGTTTACTTGATAGTAACATGTAGACTAATAACACTAGATTGTGGGCTCAAAAAAGGATCCAAATTCTAGAGAATGGAAATATATTTATTAGAAACAAACTTTTAAACTTCCTAGAACACTTCCCCAGGCATGAAGCTGGGTACTTATTCTCAGATACTTATTCATAATTCACAAAATATCCTTTGTATGAAAGTTCATAAGATCTTGCATCCCCAATAAATTTTGTGACCAGAAGATTCAAGCATTTTAAATGAACAACAGTTCTGCCCATTCAAAAAGTGGTTTTGTGCAATGCTACTTAATGGGTGATCACTTCAGTTGATATTTATATATGAAAAATTAGTCTTTGGGCTGCTCCAGTTCATATACTATAGCTGCATTTCCAGAAATGTATGAAATATGTCCAATCTAAGCCTTGATTTTGGTGAAAGATGGTGCTGTGTAACCCAGATGTCTTGTACACTTCCACAGCTGGAAGAATCTGACATCCAATCATCCATGTGCTATGTATACATTTCTTGCTTTAGCCAAACCCAGACAAGTCAAAGAAAAATGAAGCAAATTAATTTAGGCTCATTCTGGCCCATTTAAATTCCTGCTTTGCCTTAAAGGCAAAGACAGCAATGCCTTCCATAGGCTATCACAAAAGCCTAATCTGGAATCCTGGATGCCCAATACAGCATAATGGTTAAATCATTGGGTCATAACTGGAGAGATACAGGTTCAAGTCCCAACTTAGCCATGAAGTTGTGATCCTGAGGCAGTCATATTTTCTCTTAATCAAATATATCTCTTAAAAATACTATAGGAGGACCACAATGGAAAACTGGAATGGTTATAATAATTAAAACTACAATCAAAGAATTAACTTTGTTCAGATGTCTATCCTTGAGAAGCATACCATATATACTTATGTAAAGCTGTACAGATGTAGGATCCTCTTTGTGGGTTACCAGGGCAGAAGCCACAAACATACTTCTTTTCCCCATAATAACCCAACATTTTACATGAATTCTAAATACATGTAAATGATGAAAGGGTGTAAGTACTATTGTAAGTTAATATCATTAGCTATTAAATAATGGGCTACTACAGACTTAGGCAAGCTTAGAGTAAAGCTTTGGAAATTAATTAGATATTATTAATTTCTCACATTCATTTTATGGATGTTTACTAAACATGATAACCCAACAGATTAGACTTAGACTGGCCAACTTATAACACTATCTGATAGAAAGAAAGTTTAGGAAGATAATCTTAGCTAGCTCATCCTTCTCTTGCAGTTCCCTGAGTTATCTCTCATGTTTCTAAATTAAGTTATCCAAAATAAAAAACTTTCCAAAAAATACAAGGCAGGGGAAGCTAAGAGACAAAGATGGCCATAGTAGTATTTTTCATTTTTGATCCCATATTTATAGAATTCTCCTACACAGACATACTACCATTCATGGAACTATGTTTCCTAAAAAAATTCACTTATGATTTTATTATGATAAAGAGCCTGAGTTTTTCACTTCCTGCACTGACTTTCTCAAATGAATATGAGTTTCAGCCAACATAATCTGAAGTTGCCATCATTTTTGGAATTTTATATAACAATTTCAAATTCATTAGATTCTATTTAAACTCAGATATCAAGATAAGAATCATAGGCAAGTTATTCAGATGTGAATCTGATCTGAAGAGTATGAAATTATAGTTTTACTTATTGCTTTGTTTAATTGATAAATAAGTATAGAATATATATATTCTTCAAAATATAATTTCCCAAAGACTGTATAGGCTTGCAGGGAAGTCAAGTAACTGGTAAATGCTAGAGGTTTTATCTTTGGCTTAATTACTAGAATCTGCATCTCAAATTATGCAACAGAGCTATTATATCACACATTAAATTCATATTACCATTTATGTCATCCTGGGGAAAGGTCATTTGTTGTAATCACTAACATACACAAGCACACATTATTAAGAGAAAAAGTGACAAGCAGAATCTCTTTTCCCCTCAGTTGTCTCATCAGGAAATGTACTGAATTAATTGACAGTCATGCTAGCACAGTTAACATGAAGATTACATGAAGGCTATTCTCTTTTACAGTTTGCTCTCACACATAAATATTTTATACTCCAAAATTATATAAGGGCTTTTTAATTGTTGTTGTACACCGCTCAGAGTTGCTTTGTTTGAAATGGGTGGCTATATAAATGTGATGTATAAATAAATAAATAAATTTACAAGCTATAAGCAAAAAAGAGACCAAAGTGTTGAAAAATAATGCAATGGCAATTACTTAAAAGAACAACTGCCTACATAAATAATTGACTCTAAAATGTAAGTTCTTAAACCTGATAAGGATTCAGACTGTTCGTTCTTGTTAAAGTAAAATGGGTACATGTCCTCCAGTAGGCTTCCAAAGACTAATCTCTCTTTTGTTTAATTTCATTCTAAGAAATAAAATCAATTAGGAATAAATGTGTAACTTGCATTTCCTCCCTCTCTTCTTATTACAGCTGTTCTACAATGGGACCATTGTTCCATTACAACACTGAAAATTTACACAGAATGCAAGCACAGGGCTTCTGTCTCCCTCCCCCCCCCCCCCCCCCCCACTTTGCTGATGTTGTAAGGGTGAAAAGATCCCTTACATGATTTAGATTAGTTAAAATTAGATATTTCAGATCTCTGAGTGTTTATTATTTCTCTCTTTTGTATTGATTCTTGCTCTTTTAAATGGCTAGGAAGGAAAGCCAATGCAAGTTTTGCAACAATCAAAAACTTAAATAAGTGTCATTTAACTATGATGCAGTTTTCCTCTAAGAACTGACAAATCATTTAATGTGTAAGGTTTTTCCCACATGGTTAAGCCAAATGTTACGATTAGGTTCCTTTTTTAATTTTAATAGACATGCTGCAAATATTAACTTGAAGTGCCAGGCATTCTACTTTTTTCCGCACACTACTTTTGCACAGACAACTGACAATATGGTCATTCTGAATAACTCTCAAAGACCCTAATGCAGAATTCACATGAAGAATCTATCTGAGAATAAGGCTAATTTATAGTGATACTGGAATACCAATCCTTAACCACGGAACTGTTACATTAATTGTGTTTCAGTGCCCAAATTAGGAGTTAGACTCAAACTTGTGACATTTTAAATTGATTGGAATTGCAGTTTTACACTTTCTTCTGCAAGGGCATCTTAAAAAAAGGCTTTTATGTTTTGAATTGGCTAGAAGTTGGGACTATCCTTTGAGCAGAATGATATGGACCAGAAAATAGAAAGGAGTTGAGTGCCTTCTTTTAAACTGACCTTTCTTTTCAAAACTTTTTGCCACAAAAGCAAGCAGGGAGAGTAATTTGGAAGTAGTACAGCCAATCAGGGATTCTTCTGAGTTCTTCAAATTCTGTTTAAGCTTGTCTTAGGGCCACTTTGTGTTAGTGGAACAGTATTAATCAAATGCCTTCACCCATGTCTCTATTAAGTACTTTTTAAAAGCTTATTTTAGCATGCCTTCCTATAACATAATGTCCATTATCTTTTTATTGTCTTATTTTTAATAAAAGGAGTTAGATGTACAGTTGGATGATGGTTTTCATCTCAGGAAACACAAACTTGTAAAATAGAACAAATCTAATTCTAATGGGATGCTTTTAAAAATATGAGAAAGAATAAGAGAGTATTATTGTAAAGAGAATAAGAGAATAATTGTTTTCCACTGGAAAAAAAATTAACATGCAAAAGAGAAGATTCTGGTGTACTTCTTAACATGTTTAAACCTGTGGAAAAAGTTTGCTGCAAAAAAAAACTAGACAGGAAGAGAGAGAGAGAGAGAGAGAGAGAGAGAGAGAGAGTATTTTTGTATATTTTGTAGTGTGAGTGAGAAGCAGAGATTACTGTGTAGTGCGAGGATGTGTGAAGTGCAGCTTCTGTCACCAGTTATATAGACAGGGGAAAAATAGATAGCATTTGCATGTGTAAGAAATGGAAGCAACATGCAGTACTGTGTGGAATATTAATGAGAATACACGATACTAGGCAGAGCAATGTGTCTTGTATAGGTGCCAAGGAGAGAAGAAAGGAAGTGACAGGCAGGTATAAAATTGAATGAGTCAAAATGTGGATTAGTGCAATTTTATGAAAGTGTGTAGAGTGTACGAGAAGAAAAACAATATGGCATATCAGTATGAGCTACATATCTACAGTACACGATGGAAATAACATTTGGCATTTGTATGCCAATGAGAGTGGCCGCTTTGAGGTGGAAATAGGCACAGTGAACAGGTACCAGCACAGCTGGTATGAGAGAGAAAAGAGCAGGAGGGGGAAAGACGCACAAGACTGTGGAGAAGAAATACGGTCTATGCGTTTTTGAGGGAAATGTGTGAAGACTGAGTGAAGGAATAGAAGTATGGGTGTGTGTGTGCATGCCTGTAGAAAGAGCAAGGAAACAGGCATGTCAAAAAAAGCATAGATGGTGCCTGTGTACAAGATCCAACGAATGTGAGAGAATAAGGTGTGTGTATATGAGTCTGCTCCAGAGAGAGAGGGAGAGGTGGTTAACTAGCTTTGTAGGCATATCTGACAGGAATGAATGGAGAGCGTGTCTACTGTATGTAGGTACGTCGGTACAGCGCAAATGTGGTCCAGGGACCTGCCCGGGCAAACGGGGCGGGAGGCGCGATTTAGAGGAAGGCAGACGCTTCGATCTGTGCCGGCTGTCTCTCCATCCGTCACAAAAGAAGGCAACCCTGGCCGACGGCCCGCTGCCCCCGTCTCCTAGCCTGAAAAGCGGCGGCGCCCACCGAGCGAACTAGAATAGGCCCGTCCCTCCACTCACCATGTTGCCGCCGAGAAGGGAGGGATCGCTTGTGGGTGGGCAACCAGGCGCAGGTTGCTCGAGCCGCTGCTGCCTAAAGCGGGGAAAGGCAGAAAGGGAGAGCAGTGCGCGGTGCCCGCAGCCGGTGTTACCGCGCTCCTCAATCCCGCGGCCGGCAGGTGCTTCAGCTGGTTAGGCGGCTTCTCGCCTTCGTCGCCTCCGCCTTCCTCCGCCGCTTCCTCCCTTTCTGCAGCTTAAGCAAAGCCGCGGCCGTACCGTGCTCTCCTCCCCTCCCCTCCCCTCTCTCCTCTCCCTCCTCCTTTTGTCTTCTCCATCGCAAGGAGCCGGCGGTGACTTCAGATGCGGGGGCGGGGCGAAGGAGGGCCGGGAGGAGAGGTCCCTCGCCAGCCAACGGATGGAGGGGCGGGGGTGGTGGTGGAGGGGTTCTTCACAGGAATGTTGCCCTCCTGCGCACTGGCGGGGGGTCACAGCATCTCTCGGCTGCAGTGCCTGAGCTAGTCCGACGTCGTCCCCGGTGGGATTCTCTTCTGAAGCGCCGTGCAGAAGGTTGGGCTGCCCGGTCTGTGCGCGCGGACCCCGGGCGCAGCAGCCACTGCTCTCGCGCCCATTTCGAACCTCCCCTTTGCCCGTCTTGGCTACGTTGAAGGGGCCACTTTGCAGCATCCCCTACAAGGCCGCCCCCAGCCACCATTAGGGTAAGGGAAGTGCAATAAGCATCAGGCAAAAACCTTCGGATCTCCTGTGAGCATTATTATTAATTATTATTTTTAGTCGCACAATCAGCCAGATGTTTAGACTGGATTTGGGATTTTTATCCACCTATCGAGTCCTTCCCAAGGACTGGGATAGGCAGATGTTGTTTGATGGTGTTAAAGGAATTGTTGCAGGATGTAAGCTGTTCCAGGTAAAGCTGCCTTTTGCAATTGACCGATGGTAGTTTTGTCAATGCCGATGGTGTTCCAGTGGTACTCCAGAAGTTTTGGGAATGCACTTAAGGTGCCTATAACTATTGGTGCCTATAACTCTTGGCTTTCTTTTGCCAAAGCCGTTCTACTTCTATTTTCAGGTCTTTATATTTTGTGTTTTTTTCCAGTTTTTTCTCTCCTATTCTGCTGTCTCCAGGTATTGCAATGTCCACTATCCAGACTTTTTTGCCTTTCTGCTTATTATTATTACTATTATTATTTCCTCGTGATTTTTCATCCACATGCTCCAATCCTATTTAACTGTTGATATTAGCAACATTAACTGAGGGTCATATTTACACAGCTTCCCCTTAATTTGAATAAAATATTCTGAAATGGTTACAATTTGGTATAATTTATTCCACATAATGAAATCATGGAGGAAGTACAGAAATCTATGTAGCCCTGTCTCTGAAGGTGGAAAATCCTACTCCACCACCCTGTTGGCTCTTGAGGGTTCCTCCCTACCCCAATTGGTCACAAACTGTACTTCTAATAATCGTTGGCTAACATTTTTTTATTTATGCAATTTCTATAGCCACCCATCTCAATCCAAGTGACTCTGGGGGGCAAACAATTTCAATAATTATAACCATTAAAACAATTACAATTTATACATATAGGCAGCTGAGAATTATCATAAAAATTACATAAGAATCAACAGTGCAACCAGTAATGGGCCCCTTAACATTTTTGGGACTCCAGGCTTGGGCACATAGCCAGGTTTTTAAAGCCTTACAAAAGGCTAGCAGGGTCGGGCCATCCTGAGCTCCAAAGGAAGAATGTTCCAGAGGGCAGGGGCTACTGCATAGAAGACACACCTTCTAGTCCCTACCAGCTGACATTCCTTGGCTTAAAGGAATAACATAAAGGAATTTACTGTGCAAAATGGAATTAAGGCACTCGATCCATGAAGCAGCCAACCATAGCAAAGGCTCTTGGTATGCTAGATCTCTCACCAAGTGTAAGAGTGTAAGTATAAGAACAGATCAGGGTCATTCTGGGGAAGTGTTCCCTTGCAGAGGAAAGTCTTTCTGAGTAGCTGCAAATCTGGTAGTATTACAGTACAAAACCTGCCTTACAGAAACCCTTTTAAATGATACAGAGATGCAGGGAATGAAGATCACTTGCAAACAATGTATTCAACAGCATATTGGAAATTTCACAAAGAGGATGTGAAATCCCAATGGAGTATTGAGAGAGAGAATGGGAGAGAGAAATTGCAAAAGGCTACAATTCCTGATTGTAAATCAACATGAAAGCTGGGCACAGGCATAAGGAGGCGGGGGGACATGGTGAAAAAGTCTTTCTGCAGAAAGCAGGCTGTAGAAAGTGGCTCCTGATGTGATAGCAATGCCATTTCAACAGAAAAATCAACTTTTCATCATCTGGGAAAATGCCAGTGGGAGGGGTCACTTATGGGAAGGCTTATGATCTTACACTGGGTCATTATGGTTAAAATGCCAATAAATGGGGCATTCTGCCCCCAGATGACAAAAGATGTCCGCAACATCGCTAAATGCATGACCATCTGTAGATTCAAATCTGCTCACAGCAGGGATTGAGCCTTCTGGTGATCGGACAATATTGTTTCTGTGTCCTTTTCATTGCACTTGGTCACATCTTCCTGATGTCATGCCAATGAGGTTTATTTTTTTAGAAAATGAAATAGATAACTTTGCAAAAGGTGACATTGCAAAATGCGTGGTAAAGAGGCATATAGGACATCATGGTAAACAGGTAAGACACTTCAGATTTGTTTTCCTTTAATCTTTTTGGGGGGAAGGGGGTTGTGGTCTTTTGATGCAAAACTAAAGGAGTGCAGTGAGGGACTCAGTTACTGACCAATAGCTGAGCACTGATTGGCTGATATCTCTGCTTGTTTATTGGCCAGAAAGAGCACATTCTGATTGGCTGACAAGTAAAATGGTAAGAACAACCCACTCAAGCCCTGCTTCATAATGGTTTTGAAATTAGACTTTGGCAATAAATGGCTGATCATGTGGAAACGTGCTTAGGCTATACAGTACTAAGGGTTAATACTAGGATTTTGTCTGTCCTCTGGTCTATTATCTTACAACAGAGCAATAGCGAGGCATAATTGCTTATTGTCTAACTGCATCTAAGCTTACTGCACAAAAAGGCTTGCCAACTACTCAGTGACTGGTGCCTCTCCCATACTCTTCTGCACAAAATCAGTGCACAAAAAAAATCACAGTTTTGGATACTATTTTTGTGCAAAACTAGAGACCGATAATTGAGTTTTCTTTTTTGGTTGGCAGAACTGCAAAATACCGTTGTTACATGGTTTATTGCAAAGAAACCTGCTGTTCCTGGTCTGCACAGGTGAAATCTGTTTTGGACATCTGAATATGACTCAAACAAACAAACAAACAAATAAAAGCAGTCATTTGCCCCACCAACACAACTGTCTTCCCCTTGAACTCTCCCCTTTTCACTGCCCCAAAGATAATGGTCATTGCAAGCTACCATGCCAGTGTTTATTACACCTGCATACACACTGATCAGTACTTCTTTGCAAATAATAATAATAATAATAATAATAATTATTATTATTATTATTATTATTATT